TTCCCTACCTATGATAATTGTATTTTCCTGTGTGTACAGATAATTAGTTTACAGGTAGAGGGGAGGGCTATGTGTGGGATGTAACTATTGTGTGATTGGTTAATGTACGTTACTGTGTGTGTCCCTCCCCTTCATGGGAGCACCTAATAAAAGGGCTGCAAGCTAGCAGCCAGAGAGTTCTATTTTTACCCTCAACTTGAGTCCTGTCTCTTATTGGGGGAATCTGCTACAAGGGATTGCTATGCTAGGCATATTCCCTTACTATAATCACTGAGCTCTTGTAAGAGCTTGTTCCTGCTTCGTTCTGAAGGGAGATAGCTGCAGCCTGCGGTGCTTATGGTGTCTGGTGGAGTGCTTGGAGTCCTCTGGAAGCGCTAGGAGCATCTTTCAACGGAGGTACCCAGTCGGGGTGCCAGGTGATCCGTTACATTGGTGGCAAGCGGCGGGATCGTTCCCACAGACTACAGGACAGCTACAGGCGACACCATTCCTTGGATTTACAATTTGAGGGCAACGCATGTCTGAGTACAGCGACCCTGACAGCAACAGCATGGAACCAGCAGTGTCATACGAGGAGGAGGACCTGGCTGGCCGGGATGCATTAAGGAAAGGCATCTGGTACCAGGCCCTGGATAATGTACAGTACCAGCGGGGTGAGAGTCTCCCCAGTGAAGAGCAGCGGTTGCAGAAGCAAGTGGCCCTGCGGATGCCCTTCCTGGGAGAGCAGCCCCTATATGAATGGGTGAAGGAATTGGAGCACCGGGTATGGCAGGAGATTTGGCTGGAAGATGCATACCAGGCGCTTTGGTGGTATGGGGCACAGTACCTGCCCTGGACAGCCGAGCATGACAAGCCAGAGGGAGGGGAGTTTGATGGTCCTGGCTTGTTATGGGAGGCTTTTTCAGAGCCTGAATTTGGGAGCCCTACACAAGCCCGGTTCAGTGATCTCTTGGAGTGGAGGGAAAGCAGGTATGACGTGGACGACACTCACGACATTGAGCAAGACCTGGCTCACCTAGCAACCCTGGAGTGGGAACTGGAGCAGGACTACCGAGATCTCTTCCACTCCATTGAGAAGATTCAGCAGGACAGCAAGGTGACAGAGCCAGAACCAGACCCATTCAGCTGGGAAGACATTGTGGATATTTTCTGGGAAGAACCCCAGGTGGCCGGTAGAGATGGGACCGAGGTGTCTCCACCGGTCCTGCAGGGAATTGGGAGCCCAGTCTCCATTCCCCAGCGGGAGATATTGCAGGGAATTGGGAGCCTGAGCTCCATTCCCCAGCGGGAGATATTGCAGGGAATTGGGAGCCTGAGCTCCATTCCCCAGCGGCAGGCTGAGTTACAGGGGATAGAGATAGTCGCTCCTGTCCCCCAGCAGCAGAATGAATTGCAGGGAATTGGGAGCCCGAGCTCCATTCCCCAGCGGGAGATATTGCAGGGAATTGGGAGCCTGAGCTCCATTCCCCAGCGGCAGGCTGAGTTACAGGGGGCAGAGGTAGTTGTTCCTGCCCCCAGCAGCAGAGTGATATGCCGGGAAGGCAGTGTAAAGTGCAGGGAGAGGAGAACAGCGTCCTCCCTCCCCAGCGGCAGGCTGAGATACAGGGGGCAGAGGTAGTTGTTTCTGCCCCCCAGCAGCCAAGTGATATGCCGGGAAGGCAGTGGGAAGTCCAGGGAGAGGAGAGCAGTGTCCTCCCTCCCCAGCGGCAGCGTGATTTTTTGGGAATTGGGAGCCCCGTCTCCATTCCCCAGCGGCAGAATGATGCTTTGGGAATTGGGAGCCCAGTCTCCATTCCCCAGCGGCAGTATGATGCTTTGGGAATTGGGAGCCCAGTCTCCATTCCCCAGAGGCAGTATGACGCTTTGGGAATTGGGAGCCCAGTCTCCATTCCCCAGCGGCAGGACTCTGTATTGGGAGCAGAGACAGTCGGTCTCCCTCCCCCACAGCTGGAAGTATGTATGGGAGAGGAGCTTGTTACCCCCTCTCCCCAGCGGCAGCTTAATGTACAAAGGGGAGACAGTAAGCCCCACAACCGTGCAGATGGGACCGTAGTCTCTACACTGACAGCACAGGGGGTAGGGACGGTCGGTCCTGCCCCCCAGCGACAGGGCTGTTTAGCCAAAGGGGAGACAATCGGTCTCCCCCTCCAGCAGCAGAGATGGGTAACCAAAGGGGAGACGGTCGGTCTCCAGCAGCAGGACTGTGCATCTAAAGGGGAGACAGTCAGTCTCCAGCAGCAGCAGCAGAGCGGTGTATTTAAAGGGGAGACAGTCGGTCTCCCCCTCCAACAACCAGGCTTCCACCAGGCTACCATCCCAGTAGCGCTGGCAACAGGGCAGAGTGCCGCTGGTCTCTGCCCACGCAGCAACCCACCAAGTCAGCGTACCCGTACCCAGCACAGCCGTGGTGAGGCACCTGGACATGGACAAGCTTCCCCTTTACCCAGGTGTAGTAACCATTTATTGTGGGTGGGCTGTGCTGTTGATTATTTGTTGTGGGTGGGCTGCTGGACTAACAAGGGCACTGACCGGCAGGAAGTCAGATACCCTGTTAGTCTGTTTGGAAAAGGGGAGAGATGTGACGAGACCAATCTCGCCACATTGCATTGGAGAAGCCTGGTTGCTCGCCTGCTGCCTTTGGACTATGGCCCCTTTTAAAAGACTTTATTTTTCCATGCAGAAAAGCCATATTCATGCTTTTCTGCCGGTTGTTCGGTAGTTTCAATCTACCGAACAACCGTACGAATGACTGGACCACCTGGGGGCTGGAGTGTGCCGGCAATTAACCTCCCTGAAGCTGCGGTTAACCGCAGCTTAATTGATGAACGCTGGGTGGCCGCCGTTCGTATCCCGAACACGAGGTCGCGGCCATTTTAAAACCATACGAATGAACAGCGGTGTTCGCCTCTATTTTTATGGAACTAAAATCGGACACAGTTTTGCGCGAACACCGCTGAAGCCGCCGACCTCCCTTCTTGTTCGGTGAAAGCACACGAATGACCCGGTGTTCGGTATTTTTGTGTGAATGTCTTATACCCCCGATAGGAATCCCATGGAGCCCATTCGTATGAAACTGACTGTAAAGACTTTGGCTCCATGGCGATTGAACTGTATTCGTGTAGTCTGAGTGCCATTCACCTAATAATGTGCACTCAGACCTGAGCTATCTGGGGATGTGTTACATACCTGTGTTTAATGTAGTAAATGTTACTCTATGTATTTTAAAGTATAATGCTGTTTTGTGTTCCCACGTGTGTAATGGAGTTTTGCCTTTGTCTTGGGAGATAATTGAGTTACTTCCCAATTATCTCCCAGGGCAGAGGGGAGGAAGCCAGGATGCATTGTGGGAATATACTGTGACTGTGTGTCCTTTTTGTATACTTGTCTGTCCCTTGTCACAGTCTCCCATTTTGGTCCCCTAGGGGAGTGTCCACCAGGTGGGAGACCTGCATAAAAGCTGGGCAGGTAGCCCTCATTAAACAGACCACTGCTTGACCCTCAACACGGAGCCTTGTCTCGTTCTTGGGGGGATTCACTGTATGCTGTTAGAGACTGATTGCCAGGAGTGTAAGCTGTTCGTCTGCTTTTCCTGTTCGTCTGCTAGCAGCTATTTAGGAGGTTCCAGTTCGGGAGTTGGAGTGCTATTTTGTATCCAGTTCGGGAGTTTTGGTGTTCTGCAGTAGATGTGCCTGGATCTCTGGAAAGAGGGCCGATCGCCTAAACGGTTTTTACCCCTTGTGTGCAAAACGGTCCGTTACACAAGCGATCTTCCCCGGGCCGCTACACTACCGGGTCCTTCAAAGGTTAAAGACCACGCATCTTCAATTGGGTCACTCTTATTCAGACTCCGTGCCGCTTGATCACACGGCCAGGGCGGAACTCAACTGCTGGTTGCAGCACATGGAGGCTTGGAAAGGGGAAAGCGATTTTTGGCAACATCCCGGATTGTGTCATAGAATCCGGTGCCAGCAGGCTGGGCTGGGGAGCGCGTTGTGGGCGTACTTCCACAGGCGGAAAATGGTCCAAGTCGGAAAAGGCGATGCACATCAACGGTCCGGAACTTATGGCGGGATCATTCGCACTGAAAAGCTTGCTGGGCACCAGGACACATTGCTCCATCGTCCTAAGGATGGACAACGTATCAGCAGTGCGATACATCAACCGCCTGGGCGGCACCAGGTCCAAGCTCTTGGCGGATTTTGCCATGGAGTTCTGGCAGTTTTGTCTGGACCGCAACATCTCGGTGCGGGACGAATACATCCCGGGCCTCTCGAATACAGTGGCGGATTGGAATTCCAGACACCTACGGGACAACAGCGATTGGCGCTTGAAGCGGGATATATTCCTGCGCCTGCAGACGTTGAGGGGCCCGCTGCACATGGATCTGTTTTCGTCTCGGTTGAATACACAACTACCAGAGTTCTTCAGCTGGAGACCGGACCCGGATGCAGTGGCTACGCGTTCCTCCAACAATGGCCACGGAAGAGACTGTACGCTTTCCCACCGTTCGCTCTGCTGGCACGGACATTGGTTCACCTCAGCCGTTCGCAGACGACCTTGGTGTTAGTCGCACCTTTTTGGACGGCACAGCCATGGTTCCCGTCCCTCATGGAGATGTCTGTCGACCTCCCCAGATTGCTACCGGTGGACCCTCATCTATTGGTGGATCCGGAAGGGAACTCACACCCTTTGGCGCTGCACGGACATCTCAGATTGCTAGCATGGCTCCTTTCCAGGGATTCCCAATCATACCGGAGGTTCCACGGACAACGTTGGAGCTACTGGCAGGGGCCTGGGCACCGGGTACTCGGAGATCCTACAGTCGGGCATGGGACGTCTGGACTGGTTGGTGCATGGAACAACCAGTGGATCCCGTTCGTGCCCTTCTGAACAGCATCCTGCGTTTCTTGACAGCCTTGTTCGACCGAGGTTTGGCCTATCGGACTATTAACGGCTATAGGTCAGCGATTTCAGCAGGACATCATGGATTGGACGGTGCACCAATAGGGAGACATGCAATGGTATGCAGACTCCTACGAGGTGTTCGTTTTGCAAGGCCACCACAACCTAGATATACATCCACGTGGGATGTAAATTTAGTCCTGAACCTACTGGAACAGTGGCCACGAAACTCAGATCTTACACTGAAACAACTATCAGCAAAACTGGCAATGCTTTTCTGCCTGATATCATGCAAACGAGTCTCCGACGTACGAGCATTGGATGTGGACGCACGTTCATTCACTCCATCAGGGGTGACGTTTCACATTTCCAGATGTACAAAGACGGCAATGTCGACAGTATCCTATCCAGCATTCCCACATAATGTAAATCTATGCCCTGTACTTTGCCTCAAAGAATATGAAGAACGAACACGGGCATTACGAGATCCTAATAGACATGAACTATTTATTGCCATCAAAACTCCACATCAACCAGTAACGACAGTTACGATAGCTAGATGGGTAAAATGGGTAATGGCCTCCGCGAACATTGATACCTCTGTATACAAAGCACACTCCACGAGAGGGGCCATAGCAACCAAGGCTTTTACTTTAGGTTGTAGATTGGAAGACCTTTTATGTACGGCGGATTGGTCGCTGGAGTCCACCTTTAAAGAATATTATTTTCAACCTCCAGAACATGTCACGTCCTCAGTCATTGCTCAGCTTTAAACTAGCACAATATGAGCCTACGTGTCCTTTAATAAAATTACCAGATTTTACTAATTTCATGACGTAAAGTCATGATTTTATAAAGGACACGGAGGCGAGTATTGGCCCACCCGAGGAGGATCGCGACGATGGCATGGTGAGTATCGCGAGGTTGGTATTAGCTAACATGATTTCCGGACTCCCACCCAGTAAGTTGAAATGACAAGTTTTTATAGGTTGATTGACATGTTGTTTAGACTATGTTTCAAGAATGTGATGTATGACAGTCTACGATAGGTATGATGATCTGTAGGTTACTAGATATAAGTAAGGCATGGTGATAGCATATGTAACATGCAGTTACTGGATCACACATTACCATATCTCTCTCTCTCCCGTTTTCAGCTTAACGTCTCCACGCCAACGACATGGAGGATCAGTTTTCAGCTTCGTTTATTGAGTTTATGTTCTACGTTTGTTACGGCAGAGACAACGACATACCGGTTAGGAGTCAAGTCATCTCGCAAGGTTTTTACAATTCGGCTTCGGCAGGATCAAAGAAAGAGGGAGAGGAAAGGTCACATGGGTGGCTATTGGTAGATGGACTGTTCCTATTGGTTGGAATATCAGACTAGTTAACCCTTTGAGTACTCAGTTTGATTTCGTTTATGTTTATGCATTTCTTTTTCTATGCTGCTGAGGTATAATAAAGAAAGAGAAAGCACAATACTCGCCTCCGTGTCCTTTATAAAATCATGACTTTACGTCATGAAATTAGTAAAATCTGGTAATTTTGTAAACTAAAGTGTTCAGATTCTAATGCATCATTTAAAACAGAACAGTCCTGTTCTCAGATTTTATATTCTTTTGGACTATTTCTGGAGAGTATTCAATTCTGGAGTAAAATACTATACATATTACTCACAATCTTGTAATATGTACTCCAGAATTTATATATTCATTGTAGATAATAATATGTTAGACTCTAATATAAAAACAGATATACTGACGATAGATTGGTCAGATCATGCACCCATCATTCTACATTTCAAAGAACTACATTCTGACGAACCAAATAGATTATGGAGGTTATTAAATGGACTGGAAAATATTACACTAGCTGAAGAGACATTAAATAATTATTTTACTGATAATATTTCCCCTGAAATTTCTTTTGAACATTTGGAATGCCAATAAAGTTACAATGACGGGTCACTTTATTCAGAGAGCTTCATACCTAAAAAAAACAAAGAACACAAAATGTATTTACCCTAGAAAAAATGTATTTGATCTTCAACAAAAAATAAATTAGATTACAGCAAACTGCATTGATGTTAAAGAAAACTAAACGGACATTTTATTCAAAAGGCAATAGAGCCTCTTCAATGTTAGCAAACAAATTAAGACACATCATTAACCAATCTAGGATTTAATATTTAAGAGATGATTTAGGAGAGAAAACAATACATCTAAAACACATTAGTAATACATTTGCGGCCTATTATCAATCACTTTATAATTTAAAATTTGATGATACCACTAATCAGCCAACATTACATGGCATCAAAAATTTCTTAAGTAAAATTGACACCCCCAAAATCAATAGGGTCAAGATGACAAATTTAAACAAAGAAATTGAACATGAGGAAATTTTAAGAGTGATTAAAGGAGCTCCAATTGGGAAAGCCCCAGGTCTTGATGGATTCACAACAATTTATTATAAAAAAATTTAAAGACATCCTAATATCATATCTCACGAAATTATATAACATTTTTAAAAACAATGGAAATATGTCCCCAGAAGCCACCCAATCACAAATTTTTACTTTTCCAAAAAAAGGTAAAAATCCAGATGTATGTCAAAATGTCACGATATATATCCCTAATGAGCAATGATACTAAATTTTATCCAAAAATATTAGCGAATAGATTAATTGATATTATTCCAAATTTAATTAATAACGATCAAGAAGGTTTTATACAATACAAACAAAATCAGCACCAGACGATTTAGACATTTAATCCACCACCTGAATCAGACTTGCACGTCTTCTCTGATCTTTTCTTTAGATGCAGAGAAGGCGTTCGACAGAATCCCCTGGGGCACTGAGGCTAGTGGTGTTGTGGAGAGAGGCAATGAGGCTAGTGGTGTTGTGGAGACCGGCTTGGAGACTATGGTGAGGCGTAATAGAAAGCAGTTGTTGTTGGGGGATTCCATCATAAGAGGTGTGGAGATGGACAATGGTGGTCTTGTGAGGTGTCTTCCCGGAGCTACTGCTCACAGAGACAGGAGACGTATCTGTAATATTGTTAAGCAAGCAAAGCAGGAAGGGGAATTGGATGTACTTGTCCGACTAGGGACAAATGACTTGGCTTGCAATGAGGTTTCAGAGGTTAAGGAAGTTTTTAGTGTTTTTGCTAATGATATACGGCAGGTTGCTTCCACACTGTCATTCTCTGAAGTTCTGCTTGTGCATAACACTCAGAACGACAGGCGGATGCGTATTAGGGACTTTCATTTGTGGCTTGGTGAATGGTGTCAGGAACAAGGATTTGGCTTTATTTCTCATGGTAGCTCTGTTTGGAATGGAAATAACCTGTACAAAAAAGATGGTTTGCATCTTTCTCAAAAGGGAACAAATGTTCTCAGTGAGAGGTTCAGAGGTTTTGCTAGGATGTATTTAAACTAGGAGCGGGGCAAAAGGGTGATAAAACATCAATCCAATTGTCCCCCAAAAAAAGGACAGAAGGTGCCTATAGCACGTGTGTTAAAAAATGATAAGCTTAGAGTCATGTCTACAAATGCTCGCAGTTTAGGGAATAAGATCCATGAACTTGTGGCAATAATGGCAACTGATAGTGTAGATTTAGTCGCTGTTACTGAGACATGGTATAATGAGAAAAATGACTGGGACATAGCAATACCAGGGTACTCTTTATATAGAAAAGATAGGGAAGGCAAGAAAGGGGGAGGGGTGGCCCTGTATGTGAAGGATAGCAGAAAATCTAGCCTAATAAAAGTTAGTGAGGCGAACATAGAGTCCGTTTGGGTTACGTTAGAATTTGGTAATCACACAGTAACTTGTGTAGGTGTGATTTGTAGGCCCCCAGGACAAATTGAAGAGTTAGATAATCTACTAGTGGAGGAAATAGCTAAAATGACAATGAAGGGGGAAGTTATCATCATGGGTGACTTTAATCTTCCTGATGTAAATTGGAAACCAAAATTAGCTACTTGTGCCAGGAGCACACATATTCTAAACTCCCTACTGGGATTGTCTCTAAAACAAGTTGTTGAGGAGCCAACTCGTAAAGAGGTCATACTAGATTTAGTGTTAACAAATGGAGATTTGGTATCAGATATTACTGTAGGTGAAAGTTTAGGATCCAGTGATCATCAGTCAGTGTGGTTTAACCCCTTAAGGACCAAGCTTCTGGAATAAAAGGGAATCATGACATGTCACACATGTCATGTGTCCTTAAGGGGTTAATATAAGAACAGTGACTGAGTCACACCACACAAAAACAAAAGTTTTAGACTTTAGAAAAACAGACTTTTCTAAAATTGGAATATGTGTAGAGGAGTCATTATCAGACTGGAGCAATTTAAATGGAGTCCAAGAGAAATGGGATTATTTAAAAGATGCACTATTGAAGGCAACAGAAAATTGCATTACGCTTGTCAGTAAAAGCAAAAAATTCAAGAAACCACTGTGGTACTCCGCAGATGTGGCCAAAATAGTTAAAAACAAAAAGTTAGCATTTAGGAATTGTAAAAAAACCCAGAGTGAGGAAGACAAAATGATCTATAAGATTAAGTAGAAAGAGGCTAAGCAAGTTATAAGAGCTTCCAAATCACACACAGAAGAGAAAAGAGCACAGTCAGTAAAAAAGGGGAACAAAACAGCTGGGAGGAGTCGGGCAACTATAGGCCAGTAAGCCTTACTTCAGTAGCGGGGAAAGTGATGGAAACCATGTTAAAGGATAGGATTGTTGAACATCTAAAAACACATGGATTTCAAGATCAGAGACAACATGGGTTTACTTCAGGGAGATCATGCCAAACTAATCTTATTGATTTCTTTGATTGGGTAACTAAAATTATAGATCAGGGTGGTGCAGTAGACATTGCTTACCTAGATTTCAGTAAGTCTTTTGACACTGTTGCACATAGAAGGCTTATCAATAAACTGCAATCTTTAAGTTTGGATTCCAATATTGTTGAATGGGTAAGGCAGTGGCTGAGTGACAGGCAACAGAGAGTTGTAGTTAATGGAATATATTCGAAGCTTGGACTTGTCACCAGTGGGGTACCTCAGGGATCTGTACTTGGACCCATTCTCTTTACTATTTTTATTAGTGATATTGCAGAAGGTCTTGATGGTAATGTATGTCTTTTTGCTGATGATACTAAGATATGTAACAGGGTTGATGTTCCAGGAGGGATAAGCCAAATGACAAATGATTTAGGTAAACTAGAAAAATGGTCAGAATTGTGGCAACTGACATTTAATGTGGATAAGTGCAAGATAATGCATCTTGGACGTAAAA